CTCGCATGTCATAGATTCAAATTTTACCATATTTTACACATAACAAGCATAGTAAGGAGTCTTAAAATCCGTAATCAAATTTGAGAAAAGTTTCGTTTCCATGGATACGGCGGCCATATTGGATTTTGTCACATTTTGTTGACATGTCTTACGTAATGAATACCGCCCTTATCGTTCATGGAAATTAATTGATTTTTTTTTTAAAACAATAGATCTAAAAACTTATCTGTTGATTTTTTGCTAAACGCATTAGAATTTTTTTTAAGAAATTGTTTCCTGAGTTAGTAGACTTTCTATGCAAGTTAACCAAAAATCCGTGAAAATCCACACTCCCGACACCTCCAACAAAAATCTATTCCATATATCAAAAATTCGACAGACCAATTTCATGTATTACATCTTCTCTTCATTCTGTGAAAGTTTCACGAAGATCGGATAGAAAATGATGGAGTTATTTTTAAAAAGTATAGAGGAAAGTCGTGTTTTGAGAAAACGGCCGATAAATAAAAATAAAATATTTACTTTATGAGGAAATTGTGGTAATAAACATGCCCGGTACGGGAAGAAATGGGGCTTTTCTGGGTTCTTATATAATGAAATAGTTATAGGAGAGGCTGAGGAAGCTAAAAAATACATACAACTCAAATTCCATAATTTTGAGCCGAATCGGGACTTTAGGGGTGTACCCCCCCCCCCCCCCCCCCCCCCCCTTTAAATGGGATTTTAAAAATTTACAAACTGTATTGATGCGTAAATACATGTACATGTACTACAATCTTAATTGTTAGCTCTTGTCTTTGGGTTCCTTAGCTTAAAATAATAAAGCGTTATTTCACTCATTGCTCGTCCCCTTTACCTGTCAAGTATGTATTGCTTTCTTTCATCTCTGACCGAAATCACTGCTCATATTCGGGTCGTTACTCATCATTGTTTTGTAAATGCACCAATTAGAATTCGAAGAATGACATTTCACAAAGGCGATCGAAAGTCCCGAAGTACTGTCGCAAAATCTGTCGAGCATATTCGGATGCACACCTGATAGATGGCCATGGAAACAAAAGCAACGATGATGTCACAGTTCGGTGTGATCCGATCTTATACAGCCTAATTTTTGTTGGTCCTGCCTACCGAATTGCGCCATGCTATTGTTCGATATTCGTAAAAGTCAAAGGCGTCGAAAAGTTCACACCTGAGTGTGATCCTTTCATTGTGTGGCCCCTGCGCCTGAGGCGAACATGATTGTACCAGTCGTCGAGAAATTTAGAGCGGAGATGTGATCGTATGTATTATGTATGAATGTGGATTTTCCATGAAAGTTTTTTGTTCTGTAAAACATGATATAAGATGCGGGAACTTCAGCCTCCAGGGTGGGATCTTAGGGGTGACTTTTCTCTAATAAAATTTGTTGTTTTGGTAGTTTTTTCCCCACTTTAAACTACGTTTAATGAACCGGGATCATAAACAACGGGATCTCAGGTAGAGACTACTATGATAGATGAAACCGGGTACAGTTATTAAAGGAGACTCAAACTCTTTCCACCCACCCCCTTCCTTCATCTTTCTTTAAGGGGG